TCTTCTTCATGAAAATGTAATGAAAATCCAGCATCTGAAGCAAATTTGAGAGTTTTCATCTCTTAATGCAGCATTTGTGCAAGTTTGGTTTATATAAGCCTGATAGTTTTTGGTAATAGACCTGCAACCATAACTTTTACCTTGTCTATTATCTGAAAAATGTATGTCCAATTCAGCATCCGAAGCAAGTCCATTAGTGTGCATCCTTAGATGTATCATCCATGCAGGTTTGCTCATTATAGGGCTCATAGTTTATTGGAAATGAAACATGCATCAAAACTAACATTTTCACTCATCCACAAAAAGTAGGTCAGATTCAGCATCCGAAGCAAGCCTGGAAGTATGCATCCTTAGATGTATCATCTATGCAAGATTGGTCATTAAAGAACTCATAGTTCCTTGGAAATGAAACCTGCATCAAAAACTTTTAACTATTCACTCAACCGGAAAATGTAGGTCAGATTCAGCATCGGAAGCAAGCCCGGTAGTATGCATCCTTAGATGTATCATCCATGCAAGTTTGGTCAACATAGGGCTTAAAGTTACTTGCAAATGAAACCTGCACCAAAAACTTTCACCTGTTCGCTCAACCGGAAAATGTAGGTCAGATTCAGCATCCGAAGCAAGCCCGGTAGTATGCATCCTTAGATGTATCATCCATGCAAGTTTGGTCAACATAGGGCTTAAAGTTACTTGCAAATGAAACCTGCACCAAAAACTTTCACCTGTTCGCTCAACTGGAAAATTTAGGTCAGATTCAGCATCCGAAGCAAGCCCGGTAGTATGCATCCTTAGATGTATCATCCATGCAAGTTTGGTCAACATAGGGCTTAAAGTTACTTGCAAATGAAACCTGCACCAAAAACTTTAACCTGTTCACTCAACTGGAAAATGTAGGTCAGATTTAGCATCCGAAGCAAGCCCGGTAGTATGCATCCTTAGATGTATCATCCATGCAAGTTTGGTCAACATAGGGCTTATAGTTACTTAGAAATGAAACCTGCACCAAAAACTTTAACCTGTTCACTCAACTGGAAAATGTAGGTCAGATTTAGCATCCGAAGCAAGCCCGGTAGTATGCATCCTTAGATGTATCATCCATGCAAGTTTGGTCAACATAGGGCTTATAGTTACTTAGAAATGAAACCTGCACCAAAAACTTTAACCTGTTCACTCAACCGAAAAATGTAGGTCAGATTCAGCATCCGAAGCAAGCCCGGTAGTATGCATCCTTAGATGTATCATCCATGCAAGTTTGGTCAACATAGGGCTATTAGTTACTTGGAAATGAAACCTACACCAAAAACTTTAACCTGTTCACTCAACCGGAAAATATAGGTCAGACTCAGCATCCGAAGCAAGCCCGGTAGTATGCATCCTTAGATGTATCATCCATGCAAGTTTGGTCAACATAGGGCTTATAGTTACTTGGAAATGAAACCTGCACCAAAAACTTTAACTGTTCGCTCAACCGGAAAATGTAGGTCAGATTCAGCATCCGAAGCAAGCCTGGTAGTATGCATCCTTAGATGTATCATCCATGCAAGTTTGGTCAACATAGGGCTTATAGTTACTTGGAAATGAAACCTACACCAAAAACTTTAACCTGTTCACTCAACCGGAAAATGTAGGTCAGATTCAGCATCCGAAGCAAGCCCGGTAGTATGCATCCTTAGATGTATCATCCGTGCAAGTTTGGTCAACATAGGGCTTATAGTTACTTGGAAATGAAACCCACACCAAAAACTGCACCAAAAATGTTAACCTGCTCCAAAAACATTAACCTGGTAATTCCTTTGCTGAAATTGCAGCATCTGAAACTTTGTCTGGTACAATAAAACACACTAAAACCATCTTCCATGCATGTCTAATCAGTATAGGACACAGAAGTAATTAAAAAGAAAACTGCTCCAAAAAACTTAACCTTAACCTGGGACGCCGACGCCGAGGGTATCACATAAGCTCCCCCCAACTTCGTTGAGGTGAGCTAAAAATAGAATTGTTAAGCTGAATGTAGGAAATGAGGATAGTGCAAGGGCATACGCTTGTTTTTCATGAAAAAAATTGATACACATTAAAGGTACTTGGACACAGATTTGAAGTTATTATTTTCTCTATAATATTACGACTTATATATTTTAATAGCATTTCATACAAAAATTAATTAAAAATCTTATTTCGTTTAAAAGATATTAAAACTTTAAATTTTTTTGCGGGTTTGATTGACACATCCTTGCACTTTCACAAATTTTAACTATATTCTTAATCCTTAGGAAAAGTGGCAATCTCGTTTTGTATAAATGAAAAATATTAATACTATAATCCAGAAAATTCAGAGTAGATACGTTGGAAAGCAAAACAAACACACAATATATTGTCAGTCCGTGCAGTTGTGGTAAGCAGACTGTGACGATTGAACGCACCCGGTGAATTCTAAATATAAACAATAACAGAACTCGAGCCCTGTTTACAAAAACTGTGTACATAACACGAGTGTGCTTGATTTGCTAAACTCTATACGCATCTCTTAGTTCGGAATGACGATACTTGTGAAGGTGTTTTGCTTTCTAACATTTCTACTCTGAATAAAATTATTTTTCTTGATAAAAGTTTTAATATTTCTCATTAAAACACATCAAAATTGCCACTTTTCCTAAGGATTAAGAATAAAGTTAAAATTTGTGAAAGTGCAAGGATGTGTCAATCAAACCCGCCAAAAAATTTAAAGTTTTAATAACTTTTAAACGAAATAAGATTTTTAATTAATTTTTGTGTGAAATGCTATTAAAATATATAATTCGTGATATTATACAGAAAAAATGAGAAAATATTAACTTCAAATCTGTGTCCAAGTACCTTTAAAAGATGTTTATTTCCTCTACCCAAAAAGTGCTGGGAGCTAGTCTGTGCTGTTTACGAAGTACTGAAAATTTTGCCGTAAATGCTTATAATAGCTAAAAATTTACACTTCGCTTAAGTTCTGTTATAAATAAAAATAATGTTATGCAGACCAGGATCAGCTCCCAGCACTTTTCAAAATAAACACTATATAAGCAATAAATATTCCAAATTTCAGCTCAAACAAAATAGTCTATGCCCTTGCACTTTTGATGTAAATCACGAAAACACTTATCGTTTTAGCGATATTCTCTACATTCCTTGCCCCTGGGCAGCTCCAATGCTACTAGATAAATTCACATTCTATACACATTGTATCTAATAAATTATTTTCTTTTAGTTTTAATGATTAGGTCTAAAAATTAGCAATGGTATCATATTTATTAAAGCATTCTTGTAATTATTTAACCAGTGAATCTAGGCCTCTGGATCACCTGTGCTGCGTCATGTCAAGGCTGATGACGTCATATTTGACGAAAGGCTTTCTTCTAATTTACTCGACTGTATTGCTATCAAGTATTGTAATTTTACAAGATTTTACAAATAATTGATAAAATAAATAAATTCAAGTTGTTATTTACGCATGATCATGTCGTTAATTAATTTTTGTGGCTTGTCAAATTTCAATGACGTCAAAATCAAACTTCCAATACAGTGTGCAAGGAATGTGAACTCTGACCTTCCTTAACATAGCTGAGTAGACTCTCAGCAGATAATTCATGAAAAAGAAAATAAAGACTAATTCTTAGACAAAAATTTGAGATGAGAGAAAATACCCCTTATGCGGCTTTTAAGAAAGAAAATTGAGATTAAACATACCTACCCTGAAATACACGTGGGTTTCAGATGTTGAGGAACAGCCTACACACCATCCCGGAAGTTGCATCACGTGCACCTAAAAAAGAGTTCCCTTTAAGGTAGAGACCGATAGTAATCACGTGATAGAAAGAATTCGCATATTCGCACGTGCTGTTTTTCCGGATTCCGCAACGCCGTCAAATAAAAGTCCCCATTTACACATTATTGTCTATGCTACAAGATGGCCGACGAAGCAATCGAGAAATTTCCTCGATTCAAAAGACAAAGTTGCCATGCATATTAAATCTTTACGGTTCTTGAAATTGAAGCATCTTCATAAGAATCAAAGTAGAAGTGAGACTGAAACCGACCATGAACATAATTTTGGTGAAACTACTCCTTGTCCGGTGTCCACTGCAGCACCACGTGGGTACACCGGTATATGTGCCTGGTGTTATTTTCATATAGACATCAAAGACCATGACTGGCCTGCAGATGTTAAATGGTATGACGGAAGAAGTAAAATTTTTGCAGAACAGATTTTTTTGTTTGCTGTGAGCGTGTCAGATACATAAGGTGAATATCATGCCTATATGGGGCTTGTTTGTTTACGTACAGGTCTGGTACAACCACTAGATTTAGCTTGAATTACCTACATAGAGTTTTTTTTACCTTCCTAAAGTTGTTTTATTTAACCAAAATTTAAAACTTATATGACCAGACTGTAACATTTAGAATAGAAAAACAAAACCAGACATTTCTGGTGTCATAACATGATAAAGGCCAGATTGGTAAAATTGGAAAATATGTAAAGTAATCATACTTATCTCCGGCCTGCCTAATTGAAGACCTTACATGTATCTCTGCCTAACACACGAGATGGTGTTTAGTTACTCAAAGAATGGAAAAACATATTTTGTTTAAATTGTTCAAATGCAAATATGTGTAAACTCTCTCTGCTTTGGATGACAGATATGCTTTTGAATTATTATATCCCCTTGTATAAATGATAGTGGTCATTTACTTTACATTTACATGAAAAAAAGCAAATTGTAAAAAGATGCATGGAAAAAAAGAAACAACTTAAGAATCAAGTGCCAAAAAATAGGGTCAGTTGGGTAGCAGGAAACAAGACTATTTTTTTTTTGGCCTTATGTAATATTTATGTACATGTAATATTAATGAATTTATAAAGTACATATATGTATTTGTTGTATGCTCATAAGGGCCCTGGTTATAAACAGACATTTTAAAAGAAGTATTTAATACTACAGGCGAAGCAAGCTATGGACTAGACAGTGTATTCAGCTTTCTCTGCTGAAATAATGTTGCCAAATCAAGTGTCATCTAGAAAGAGGAATGCCAAGGGTGCTTTTTACATGAACTCCAAAATAGCCATTGGTTTGTATTTAAAGCTTTATTTGTTTCCTTTCTTATTTTTACCTTTCAATTTACACTTGCACATGTATCAGGGAAAATCCAGAAATTTTTCCAAGGGGGGTGGGGGTGGTAAAAAGCAGGTGTTTTATAATACTTGTATTATAAATTTAAATTTATGATTTTCAGTCCTTGTATTTTTAAGTTATGCACCATAATGTACAAATTATTCAACATGTAGAAGCATTTTCTCAAGTCAATAATTTCTCAAAGATCATATTAATATTTCAGGAAAGTTCAAGCCAGATCTTTTACAGCAAACTGAAAATAAAGTAGCATACTTGTGTGACAGGAAACAAGGAATATGTATGGCTGGACTGAGAATCTAACCGGGGATCCCTGCATCATTAGTCAGGTTCTCTATTGACTTAAATACATGTATGGTTAAATGCTTGTGTATAGACATACAAAACAGACATATTGTAACTTGAATTCAAAACTGAATAACCAAAAATTTTTAAATGTAAAATGTAAAGATGTCTTCTAATTTGAATGAGATTGTTTCAACTAATGAAAGCACCAGAGAATTGGTATGATATAAATCTGAAGAGGTCAGCATTGATAAAAAACTTATAAGGGACATGGTTTTTTAACAATACTGACTTCTTCACATTATCAGTACCCCCTTACTTGTCGTAAAAGGCGACTAAATGGGGCGGTCCTTCGGATGAGACCGTATAAACCGAGGCCCCGTGTCACAGCAGGTGTGGCACGATAAAGATCCCTCCCTGCTCAAAGGCCCTGAGTGCCGAGCATAGGCCTAAATTTGCATCCCTTCACCGGCAATGGTGACGTCTCCATATCAGTGAAATATTCTGGAGAGGGACGTTAAACAGTATAAATCCCCATCTTCACATTATCATAGCTAAATTTGCAAATTAAATCAGAATTGTTAATAAATTCTACAATTTTTTTAAATAGATCAAGCTATCTACTTTATTTTTATGTTATTTTCATCATGTTACAGATCTTATGGAAATATACGATCCTTGGCTAATCAAGTGTCATCTGCAGTGTTACAAAAGAATATTGGATATATTTCAATAAGGTAAACAAATTAGGGACAAAACTGAATTAAAAACAATGGAAAAGGATGTAAAAACAAGTATTTTAATTCTTCCACATATAATAGTTATCTTGCTAGTTGTATAAGCATTGATGTGTCACTGACAGGTACATTTATTTTTTTTCCACAAACACTTTGGTCTTAACTCTTGAACATTTGTGTTTCACATGTTTATTTTTTTTTTCTTTAACCCCATAATCTTGGCCTTAGAGTGTGGCCTACATTTAGAAACTAAAATATTTGATCTTTATCCAGATATACCATGTTTGTTTAATTTAGACAATTCATTAATCCAAATAATTTCCTTAAATTGTCCAGATTAATGAGATCGACCGTATCATGTGTAAATGCATTTAATTTAAAAAATTCATGACATTATATAAAAAAGGCATCTCAGAACTTCAGAAGTGTCTTATATTCATATAGATATAGTCATACTATGTTTGCAGTGTAAGAAAGAAGTAAAACAATAAAAACATGTATTTTCATTCTTATTTTATTAAAATAATTTGTTCTCTTCAGAAAAAGAAAAACCAGAAGGAGACAGTAAGGAGAAACAGACATATCTCACCATAAAACGTGCTTTAAAATCTGAATATACTGAGTGAATTTTGCTCACTGCAGCTCCTTGTGAAAGAACACCATTGTTGTATTAACATAACACAACGGTATAAAACTATTGTCGGGATCCTTGAACATGAGGCAACTGGCTGCATACAAAGGCAATTAAAAATGCATACATATTTACATTGATTTTTGTTAGCCAAAAAGACAAAAAGCAAACTAGCAAGTTTATCCTATTACTGTACATGTACTGAATGTATTCATTTTATTTTGTTGAACTACATCCTGAGTTTAAAAGTTGTACACAGTTTATGGTGGGATTCCTCTAACTTTTATAAATCTGTTTGCAAAATCTACACTTTAAAGTTACAAATTATTACCTCTAATACATTACATGTTTTTTTTGTTGTAAATTATTATGGTCCACTTTTTTTGTATGTTTGTAATGATAACTGAATCACCCTATTTTCCCCGCACTTTTTACCATATGATGCTTCAGTGTATTAATATCTGACAACTGATGACCAGGCAGTCTTCATTTAATAGTGTAATAACACATTTTTATCTGAATATTTTTAAAACAAGGATAACGCCATGGATTGATTCTGTGTAAAAAACTTCATAATCACTTTTTTTCTTATACATGTTTTACATGTATTTGAAATAAAAAAGGAATTGTTAAAGAAAAGTGATTTTAATACTATTGTTGTCAAAGGAAGATAATAAGAGCAGGTTATTTATGCACAGAATTGGTCAAAAGATATTGTCATTGATAATTCATCCAAGAATCACATGTATAATAAATCTATCAAAGTCAGTTTGAACGATATAAAGGAAAATTCTTATCTTTTTAATGTAAGTGCAAAAAGGTCAACTGGGGCAACCTGTGAAGGTGTACATGTATAATTGTTTTTGTGATATAGAATGTAATTCAGAAGAAGAATATTACAAAGAATTTACTCATTTTCTGTTAAATATTTTAACAAATTCTATCTATCAAAGTCAATTTGGATGATATAAAGGAAAGTTCTTATCTTTTTTGATGTAAGTGCAAAAAGGTCAACCGGGGCAACATGTGTGTTAGTGTACATGTATAAATTGTTTCTGTGATATAGACTGTAAATTAGAAGAATTTTACAAAGAATTTACTTATTTTCTGTGAAATATTTTGATAAATTCTTGATAATATCTCTTAGTCACCAAATTCTTCAAAAATGCATCCTTCTAAAGGAAGGGGGTAGGGTAGGGTGTAAGATAGTAAACTTGTTCCAGGACGAATTTAAACCCCATTATGTAGTATGATTTTTTTTCTGAAATTTAATATACTTATAGACTAACAATATTATACAATAAAAAAAAGAAATTTGATGGGTAATTTTTTCACAGCGGAAGCAGAAGTCTGAGACTTTGTGCAATGAATAGGCAATTTTTTAACCTAATTTGACCATGCATCTTGGTGATTTTAATTATGTTTTTCGCTTACAATGCTTGATAAATTTAAGATTGATGTCAAATATTATTTCATATAGACAGATGTTTGAATTCATATAAGACAAATGGTAATTGATATAGCAATAAAAAATTTACAGCCCTTTTCATATCACATTCTTATATTATTTTACCCTGCTTTTGCAGCTCTTCGGTGGTTGATGAAGGCTATATAAAAATTGTCAAATTTCTCTAAAAATAGCCTGATGACCTACCTTGAATTTTTTATATGATTTAGAACAAGGACTCAATACAAACATATAAAAAATTCAGAAAAATTCAATGGGTAGTTTTTTTGTTGACCACCTATCAATCTCTACCTTAATTCAGTGGCACAATTCTGCTAAAGATATGATAATATTCAGTCTTCACGAAAACTTTTCAAACTAACTTGCCAGTCGGACCAGTGAACTTTCAAAATATACTAGCCCACCAAAATTTTTACTGGTCCCTTTCATAAAAAAAATAAAATAAATACATTTTCATAACTGTAAATTTATACATGTTTACGTACTTCAACTTTTGAAATGCCGCCATTTTTCGCCCTTTGTCGCGTTTCGGTAAGTTGTTCGTTGGAACTTTGCACATTTTACGTACTAGTTAATAATTACTAGCTACTTCCAGTTGTTACGTAATACATCCATGTTATAATAGGGTTATAATAATAGAATTCAACAACACGAGCTTCTTCTTTTTATTTTATATATTAATGAAATTTACGCAAGTAAGTCAGTTGAAATAAATTTTGACTGTATGATTTTTATGATCAACAAGCCCATCGGACTTCTTGAATTTTGATTTTCACTGACCCGACCTCAAAATTCACTGGCCTCGGTCTTCGGACCAGTGAGTTTTCGTGAAGACTGAATATTCCTAGTACATGAGTCCAAAATTAAAACTGTAGACCTAAAAAAAAGTTGCCGAAAATGAAAAAAGAAAAAGAAATTGTCCCTATGTATAAGGAACTTCATTTGACTAAGTTTGTTTTGATTGGCTATTTCCTTGCGTAAGACCTTAAACCGAGGTCCCATGTCACAGTAGGTGCTTGCACGAAAAAGATCCCTCACTGTTCAATGGCCCTGAGTGTTGAGCAAAGGACAAAATTGGCAGTTCTCCACCGACAAATGGTGGCGTCTCCATATGAGTAAAAAATTCTCGAGAAGGACGTAAAACAATATACAATCAATAAATCCTTACCTGTCTGCTAAACATAACAAAGGTTACTGTGGTGATTGGTAGAAATACAGCGTCAAAACTCTCTGTTGATGACCAGACAGCATCCTGCAATGTATATACACCATGGATGTTCTTTAACAGGGGAGACTACTCGTAAAATCAGAGGAAATGTCGTCAAAATAAAAGTTACCCATGATTCTTACAACTAGGTTCCAAACCAGAAAATATTTTCTTTACAGTATAAGACGATTAT